TCCAACCTAGATGATTCTATGATTCTATGATTCTATGAGTTTGGCAGGAGAGCACGTCCAATCATGAAACTCCTTTTGACAGCAAGACAGAGCTCCCCCTGTCCACGTATGAGCTGTCCTGGCTGGCTGTTTTGTCTTCTGCCTTTCAGTTGCATTGCAACAAGGGAGCAGGTTCAGCTGAGGATATTCACAAAACCTGAGACTACTCACATCATAGAAATTAGCTCACTGCAACCCCACCAAATGATATCACATTAAGTCTCCTCTAAGAGCCATAAGACATAGGAACGTACAAGACCGATTGGAAATACTTCACTCTTCAGTTGTGATCAGCAGCAGTTTGTCAGCAAATGGGGGCAGTCACTGTACTGGATACCCAACCCTAGACAAGAGTCACACTACACGTGCAACTGCAGCAAAATTGTTCTAAACTTCCTGTTACCTGAAGCAACACACCCCTTCCCTACATGCAGGCAGACCACAGTGGCCAGAAGAGGGGAACATAGCATATTTAAAGCACTGGAAGACATCCGAAGATGACTTTCCCAGTCACTTTCTTCTCCTTAGATTCAGTGAACAATGTTCTTGGATAAGAGCCTCATCTCCCCCATGACTTCACCTCCCCCACACCCATCCACTCCTGCTTTACCTCTTCTCCTCTTCCAGCTGGTTCAACAGCTCAATCTTCTCCTTCTGCATCCCATCCACCAGGGCTCGTGCTCGCTGGAGGTTTCCTTCTGCCTCTGTGACGTACTGCAGCAAAAAAAGAGCCCAAGCCGCAAAAGTTAAAGTTTGAAGTATAGAGCTGTTTCAAAAAGGATGAGACCAAGGGAACAGAAGGTTTTGATGATCTGTTTCAGAGGCTGCTATGGTAAGAAGGTAGATTTTTCTAAACAGGCCAGTTAGGTAGGTATCAAAAAGAAAAAAAAATGCTCAATCTTGAGCGGCTTGTAAATTTGATCCATGCTTTAGTGCCTCTCTGACTTGAACCCTTTGGAGAATCCAGCTCTGATTAAGAGTCAAGCACTTGAAGCCTGAACAGTTTTCAAAATCTGGACTGAGGTTAGCAGATGCAATTCAGCCCTGGTCATGAAGCAAGAAGTAATTTCAGGCTTGCGTTAATTCATTTGTTACTGGTAATTACTGGAAAATACTACATGCAAAGATGATGTCACCTTGCAGTTGATTTGCCAGTTTCTCCTGCATTTCTGCCAGGCAAGTGTGGCCCACCACACAAAGACATACAGTGCCATCAATACTGCCTAGTAGCTGGCTGGGGTTTATAAACATAAGTAAGGAATTTAGGGCAACAGCAGTCATTGAAGAGCCACATATTGACAAACAGCACAAATACAACTCTTCTCTTTAAGCACTCAAATGCATACAATAGCATTTGTACAAGTGCTTGTGCAAAAAAGCTAATATGATCAGTCCGGTTTCCTTACAGATCTCTTGACTTTATTAATGTGATAAACACATCCCCTCTGGCAGGAAAGCGGTGACATATGAACTGAGCTGATGTTCTCAGCAGTGTCCAAGAGCATCAAAAAAACACCGCAATGCAGTCACAGACAAGGCCAGACTGGGTGGCTAAAGGGAACAAGCTTGCCCTCCACTTGCATTTCAGCATTTGAATGTATTGATCCACCAGGCACAAACTATCTAACTGTCCTTTGGCACAGCCCTTTTTCTGCTCCTGGCTTGGGGCAGAGAGAGTACATGTTCCACTGGCAGGAATGGAGAAAGAGCCTCAGCTTAACCCACCATGCAGGAAACTGTCTCCACATGAAACACAGAAACTCAGAGCTCAGGTTTCACATCATGAAGCTATACACAGGTAATGTTATCATGATCTGAAACTTTCAGAGAACGCCAGATATTTGCATGCTACCAATAAAGCCACATCACCTCCTACCTGCTCATGCTGGGCCTTCATGATGGCAATCTCTTTCTCCACCTCACAGATGTGGCTAGTGGCTTTGGCAACCTCAGCCCGCTCCAGGTCACGCTCTGCCAGTAGCTGTTCGATGTGCTGCTGCTTCTCCTTCAGTGCCTCCTGGAGAGCTGTGGTGCCAGAGATTTTTCGGGCATATCGAGAAGAGGTCTCTGTCAGCTAGGGAAGAGAGTTCAAAAGAGACAGGGGTAAAGCTGTGTCCTTCCCAGCCTAGAATAACTCAAAGTCCCGTGTTAAATCTGGAATGCAGCTCACCTACTGATCATTTATTAGGCTGCACAGAGCTGCAGTTCCAGCTCTAGACCCTCCAGGCCTACAGGCAGGGTTAACAAGTCTGCAAAACATCTGGACACTGCTTACAAGCTCAATAGCTCTGCTACACTGCAATGAAAGGACCATTTCCCAAAGGACAGAATGGGGGGTGGGAACTGGGTCAGGAAAGATTATCATGCATTGTATCATCTGCCTTCTTAAATATATTTTATTGATGACCTGCACTGGTGCAGTCCCCAACAGTGAGCTCAGCTGGGAGGACTGATCTCAACTAGAGACTGGTATGGGCTAGTTGGATCCAATCCCAGTAATGGATACTGCACCCTCGTCCCCAGCCAAGATGACTGCAGGTGCTATGCAGCACACACTATGGCAGAGTTAGAGCTTTTAATAATATTACAGCCTGCGCTGGTGTCCGCCTTCTTGAGTACCTGCCAAAGCACAAAGCACGTGATCCAGGACAGTGGCACCCCTCCACAGGAAAACACAGTCATTGCAGGAGCTTTTGCATAGCTGTTCAACACAGCAGCACACTGCTACACAACCATGAGGGACAAAAAGCAATAGCATTTTTTGCAGGGATCCTGCACAAAACCTGCTCTTGACAGTGGAACTGAGATTCATCCCATTGCAAATAGCACTTTCGGCACTTTAATGGTCACAACTGCTCAGTGTCTGTTATGCCATTCGTGTCCATGGAGGTAGTCCTATTTGTAAGGTGGGTAACAGTATCCCACACTCCACTCCCCTCATCTCATTGATGGTGAAGGAACAGCTGCCCCAGTGCAGCTGCTGAAACAAAACCCCAACCCTCCCACTTTGTAGAGCTGGGTCACAGAAGAAGTGGATCAAGGCTGTACCATCTCTGGAAAGAGCCACCTACCAGCCCACTGCGGCTGGGCCTGCCCCCAACAGATGATGCCACTGAGCTGACGGAGCTGATGGAGGAGCTGCTGGGGCTATGCGTTAAGGCAGACACTCCCATGGCCATTCGTTTGCTCTTCTTTGCCTTGGCGGGGCTGGTTGAGGGGAACCCAATCCGGATCACCTTGTGGATGGGAGCAAAGAGGCCAAACTTGGGAGGGCACTGAAAATACCTGTAATACAGGAGATGCACCAAGTCAGAATTGGTAGAGCACCCATCTCGCCCAAGCCCCACAGAATGGCATTGCTAAGCAATATGCATCCCCAGCCCTCAGCTCATCTCTTGGTGCTTTGCTGTGACGTTGTTTCCTGCGTGCAAGCAGTTGGATTATTCTCCTTTCCAGCCACCTAAGAGCAGCGGCAATCTCCATGTTTTCACTTGTGGTGCTTAAGCAGGGAACCCCGAGAGAATTGCCATGCACTAGTTGCTGCACACTTTGATGAGATGCCAGGAAAGACCCATCTGGTAGCCTGGATAGCACAAAGATCCAGCACACAAAAAGTGAGAGCACACACACTCCTTCCTTATCGCAACAAACCAACCTTCCCAAAAACTCATGTGTGTTCTCTACCCTGCTTTGCAAGAAAGTCACATAGCAAAGTGAGTCGAATAAAAAGATCTGAATCATACAGCTCTGTATAAATGTTCCTCCCAAAACAGAAGGGGAAAATGGCAGCTCCTAACTTTGAAGCTAAAAATACCATTACAGCAAACTCCAGTGTGTGCCATCTCCTCTGGGTGGCAGAGAAAGAGAAACTGGTTCCCATGCAAACAAACTTAGAAAGAAGCAAGCATAAAAAAGGGAGGATCAGATAATTACGGTGCAAGCTCTTTTCCACAATTGCAGTGAGCCCAATGATTAAGTCTCTCTGGAGCCCTCTTCCAGAATACAAATGAGTCAAAACCCACAGTGTCAAACCTTGGAAACCCCTTTAGAGCTTGGGCCGACTGGCCCAAGCTAGGTTTATCTGTTGCCGGCCAGCTGCACTGCAGCAAGTAAAACCAGATCATCTCCAGGTGTTGCATCCCCTTGTTTCAAGGGAGTAGTCAACACTGAAAACTGGATCCATTAAGAGTTCTTTCTCAAAGGCTTCATAGCAAGGTAGGGGAAAATACTGGGCCATATAATAGTCTGTCTTATGTTAACATAAAAAACAGGTCCTAATGAATAAATGACACAAATCCAGCTTTGCTAGCACAAGTCCTCTCTCTCCAGATGTGAGCAGCTGCTTCCCCAATTCCCTTTTAAAGTGCTGGCAGCCACGCGACTGTATCACAGGCAGACCTCTGTGTGCTTGGGAGGCCAGAGAACAGCCTGATATCCAGCCAGATGAGAAAGTGATTCATTTCCAAACATCTGCTTAAGCCCAATTTTTTTCTATAACAATCTTTAAAGAAAAAAAAAAAACCCAAACCAGAAACAACCCTCTACAACCCAAAATCACTTAGCCCTCTCTGCTTGCTGCCAACACAGGCTCTTGGGTTTGGAAAATCAGCCATACCGCAGGCTGACCTTGCTGTGGAAGAGAGACCCAAGGAAGAAAATCAGTCTGGCCTCTTGCAAACAAGCCAAAACCATGCTCAGCATCATATTCTCAAACCGAAGTAGGCACAGGCAGACCAACAGCACAGCCCAGCCCCTTCCCACAGGTCTAAGCACAGACTGGTACTTGTGGCTGTACAAGAATGCCAAGGGCTAAGTCCCTCAAAAGCCCCCTGACAGCTCTTAGCATGTCCAAACTTGCATCACTCTGTCTGCTCATTTTCTTTTAGTCCAGCCTGGAAGTGGTTGCAATTAACTTTTATAGTTCAGAAGCAGGAATTGAGTCCAGAACACTTTGCAGAAAAATAAAAATCTGCTTGAAAACCAAGAGTTGCTCTCACTGAGTGCTAAGGTGCTCTATACCCACATATACCCACATAAAAGAAACAGGGAAAACAAGTGGCATTGTGATAGCAATGCAAACTGCAGGTGGGAAACAGCACAGGAAATTTTGAAGTAGATTTAAAAAAAAAAAATCTTCAGTGCCCAAGGCCTGTAGCTGACACGTTTCAGACTATGTGAAAGAAAAGACATGAGCAGTTTAGTGGGCAAAGACTCCCATAGGAACAGAGGCAGACAAGAAAGAACAGTAAAATAAGCAAGTAAAGGTTAATATATTAGAGATGAGTAAGTGGAACTTGCTTGGCTTTGTGGATAAGAAACCAAAAAAACCACACCAGCACCTCTCTAGCCTCCTATGCAGACAGGAAAGCAGATGCAGCAAACCCCCCAGTGTCTCAGCAGCATCCATCTGATGTACGGAGAGGGGCGCACCACAGTGATATCCTTCTCCTCTCGGGCACTGCGGCTGAACCACAGCCTGCAGGCAGACTCCACCAGAGAACCACAAGCTGCTCAGGAAACCCTGGCCCTTCATGCTCCCCTTGATGCACATCCAGACCTGGATGCCCTTCCTGAACCTGCAGGAGAATCAGAGCGACCCTCCTCAAATTTCAGGTGATTCACCGCCGACTCAACTGGAGAACGCACAGCAGCAAAGGTGGTGACAGAGTCCTTTGCTCGCTCATTTACCCATGTGTTTGCTCTCCTACTTCCACTGGCTCAAGTTGCTGCTTTGGACCTGGCTCTCCTGCTGTAGCAGATGGCTACTGCAGCAGCGAGCACTGGTCTCAGGCGGCCAGGCCAAGGATACTCACTAGATGGCAACAACCACCAAAGCAGAGACTCCAAAGTCCTGGGCGGTCTCTGCCCAGACTGATTCTGGCAGGACAAGCTCAGGGCAGCATCAGGAACCCCATGTGGCAGTGGCAAACATGGGGAAGACTGTCTGAGGGGTGCCTGCATGCACAGAGGAAGTCAGTTTTACTATATTGGCTTCTCCTCCAAAGAGGAGAACAGCCGATTGCTGCTGAAATAGGCACATGCTGTAAGAAAATCAGAAGGTTGGATGAAGGCCCAAAGGATGAACAGGGACAATGCTTCAAACCTGCAGCCAGATCCTTGGTGGACAGAGAGTCCTTCAGCTGGAGAGCCCACATGTATTGTTGCTGTATCAGCAAGTATCCATTATTGCTAGATCCACAAAATCAGCCTGGACGCAAGGGGCAGGGATGCCTTACAGACTTCCCTCAGTCTCCCCTGTTTAATCCAAACCTACTAATTCACTCTTGCTCCCCAAACCCTGCTGTGGAACTCAATTTTTCCTTCTCTTGATAAAGCATGAAACAAAAGAGAAGCCTTGCAGACAGGGCACATATACCATAAAAACCTCAGCCAAGATGTAGCAGTTTCAGAAGATAGATGACTTCCAAAAGTTGGATTTTCAAAACACAGCAACAGAGGTGTGAGGATCAGAAGCAGAGAGAGCACCCTTACGCTCACATCTGTCTCCCACACCTTCCACATGCACAGAGACCATAAAAGATTTCTAAGCACCCTGAAAGTTAAGCTTAGAGATAATCTGTAGTGTATGATAAAGCAAGCAGGGACTTGGATTCACTCCATGACTCATTCTCTACCATCCCAGTTCTTTTCTTTTAAGAAAAGGCTGGAACTCAGCCATCTGCTGCCAATCATTTTCTGCTTTCTTGTTCTGACATTGAACAAGGCAGCATTTCTCTTACTTTAAATGAAAACGCATGGTTGCTGGACAAAATGAGGCTGACCCAACACGAGAAAACTTTATTACAGGACCTGAGATCTAACAAAGGAGGAACTCTCAGCTCCTCAGTTTCAAAGCTAAATCTCACCTCTAATGCAAGATTCCCTTAAGAAGCTCCAAGAAATCAACGGTATTTCCCACTGAAGGAACTTGTGAAGGACAAGGCATCAGTTCCACCTTTATTTGAAGCAGGGTCAAAGTGTTGCTGTATAACTCAGATTTGAACATCCCCAGGCTCAAGATCTGAGGCTGAGGGTCACTCCCTTACCTAACTTCCACATGAACAGAAACAGCTTCCCAGCAAGCCTGAGAGATGTCCCTGCCTAGTTTTATAGATACTAACAAGGGCTTTTTTTTAAAAGAAAACAGTGGAGGTGCCTGTGAAGTCAGAGGTGGCAAGATCAAATCAGCAGACAGCTGTCACACTACAGAATTAGTACAAGGACAGACAATGACCACCAATTGTTCTTTTAGATCTCTGGAAATTTGTCCCCAGAAAGAACAGAAAAAATAACATTAAGCTGAGGAAAAAAAAAAGAGAGTCAAATCTTTATCTGCTATAATTCTGACAGGGTGAATTATAGATATAGTGCAAGAAGCAAGTTTATGATGGGAATAGTGCAGTAGAAAGCAGAGCTAATACAATCACAGAATCAATTCCTAGCAAAAACTGAATCCCACTCTAAGTTATCTCCTCTCCCTACTCTCTCCTGTTTCCTGAAGCCACTCAGGTTACTTCTTCATAGACGTTATCTGACCCTGCTTTAAAATGCTCCAGTGATGAGGTTTTTATTGATCTCCCTACAAAGACATCCCAAAGCTTACAAGACTCAAAACTGGACTCTTCCTCCCAACCCACAATGTCCAACCAAACACAGCCGCATGCAGCCCTGAGCCCTCCTCCCAGGTCCGTTTGGCCCCCAGCCACCCCAGGAGGTGTGCAGGACCCTACACGCCCCAGGCTGGGTTTGAGAGTGCACAGTACCTTGTACCAGCAACCGCTCCATCGTTCTTCCCCAGGGGTTCATCCAGCTCCACACCGCACCACTCTCCTTTGGCAAAATCCGTCTCTCCCACATAGCGCACAACTCCTGTCTTTGTCCCACCAACCTGTTGGAGATAAGATGCCGAGGGTTAGAGACGGCAGCGCTGGCACTGCCACAAGGGGACTGAAGCTGGGACGGCTAAGGAGAGAGGAGGAGTGGGGAAAGACATCAGTATTTTCTGTTTCACATCTAATGAAACCAGAACAGATAGTTTTCATATCAAGTTCTCCTAGCACTAAAGATGTCTCTCCAATAACTACAAGCAAGTCGACAAACTCCCACTTTTGGACCTGCCTGTCTGGAAGATGTTATAACAAATATAATGAAAACATATTTCAAGGCATCAACTAATTGCACAAAGTTACTTGTGAGGCCATGAAGGAGTTTAAGCCCTCCAAGCGCAGCTTATACCTGCCTTCTGTAAAGAACCAAGATCTGGACTAACAGGGCTTCAGTCCCGTGCTCTTTCAGCTGGCAGTTCCGAGCCATACTGGAACAGAACATCAAAGGGACAAGCTGAGCCAGGAAGGCACTCATCACTCCTCAGCTTGTCCTCATGCAGGGTTTGCTAGGAGGTAGCAAACAGCCCTCCCAGCAAACTTCTCAAAGTAGAGGCGTTTTGCACAGGAAAAAACCCTGCACTTTTACCTACACATCCTACATCAATTCACGGCACTAGCGTGCTGCATGGGAAAGGGTCTCATCTCACTGCTAGGCTTCCACTAGCGCAGATTTTTTCCCTTCATGGAGAAATAAGAATAAATCACACCTTTTGCCCCCGTATGTACACTTAAAAGCTTTCAGTGTGCTGAGTAGACTCCAGGAGAGCGTAAGTCAGGAATGTATGAAGCTGTGTGTTGATCAGTGCTATGAAAGCACATTTCACTGAGGAGCAGCTGCCTCTGCACTAGAAGCTCCTACTTACATACTTGTGCTGAAAAAAGAAAGATGGAGAAGTAGGAGGGTGGTTCTAAAGGTTCATACTTTAAACTAAATCAGCATATGATTTAAACCTTTTTTAGCCTAACCTCTGCCAGGTTCAAGGAAGAAAGCTTAAAAAATAAGTTTAAAATTAAATTTGCAGCTTTGTCTTGAATGACTTGCTGTTATTAATTTTCTTAATATTAAATTTTACATAAATAGGTATCAACAGAGTAATATCCTCCTAGAGAAAACAGTAACAGTCAAATGCAGAAATCTCCAGTTTTGTGTATTCTGGGGTAGGGATGTTATAGATTTACTAATTCTAAATCCCTAAAAATTCTGAAAATTACTTACGCAAAGGAGAAAGAGTTTTCCCAGCCTAAAAATAACTGCACCTGAATGGACTAGAGAACACAGCTCTGAAGTCTGGGTCCTACCTCAAGTCCTGGGAGGCTGCGCTGCAGCACGCAGCTTGAGTTAGTCTTCTGTAATTTCTCTCACTAGGGATACAAAGTGCTGCATATGGAAAAACCTTTGCTGATGTTGTTCTCTTTGCTATAAGGAGGAGGAAAATATTTGCCAGCAGGAAAAGTATCACAAGAAAGCTTTCTGGTCCTACACTGCATTGAGGAGTAAAAAGATGATTCAATTTCAGTATTAGGTACTTGGCAAGTTACAGATTTGAACAGTTGCAGTAAAATTCTTTACCTATCACTCACAGTCAAACGGCAGTCCCCTCTTTGATTTATTTGAGTTTATACAGAGTTAACCTCTCAATATTAATGCAATGATTTAATGCCATTCTAATACATTTCTTTAGCTGCAAGTTGAACTCAATATAGGTGTAATTCATCTTAATGTCATTTATAGGAACCTACCATTGCTGGTAAGCTCCCTCAATTTTATTTTTATTGAGTTCTAATTACAGATATTGAGCCACATTTCCTTTACCAAGCCACACGGTCCCGACCCCACGGAGCCTCATGTTAACACCTTAAAAACCTGATGAGCTCCCTCCACCAGCATGACTCTTACCATGCTGTTCTGGGGCATAAACTAGAGGGCCACACTCCTCTGTCCACACAAACCACAGGACCGCTCAGTTACATCCCCATAGATATTATTTATTTTGAGAAAGCCATTTCCAAACAGGAGAGAAAATAACTAGCCCTACTGACTTAATAAACACATTATCTAATTATGCCAATACCAAAACTGCGCAGTAAGAGATTGGGTCACGTTCCTACCCGAAAGCCATACATCAGTGAAGATACATCGGTGCAGATCAGATCTAACACTCCCCCAAACGGCAATGTGATTCTCTGCTTCCAAAGCAATGTATTTTATTTTCTCTTTCAAGCATTAATTATTCTACCATCTTTTCTATAAAATACACCCCTGACATACAGCATTATTTTTCTCCCCCAAGCCAGAACAGATACATCTGCCCTCTGACAGCCTGGGCTCCCCGCATCCCTCCATGGCTGGCAGTACAGTCAGCAGCCAATATTGGGCTGTCACACTTGCATGCCAGAACTCGACCCTCTTGTTGAGCCTCCCATCTTTTGGCAGGCACACAGAAACTCTTATTGATGGAGAGCCTAGAAAATTCATCCGATTCAGACATGCAGATTTATTCAGCCCTGATAATCTGCTAATGCTGCTAAAATAAATAATGTGGTTTAGAAAAAGGCAGCTGGCAGGTTATATCAGCACATGAAACAGCCTCATCAAAACAGAAGTGTTTGTTTCTATCAGAACCTTCAATAAATCAGAGGAATCACCTTGGAAGGAGGATAAAAGGCAGCTTGTGAAAGCCAGGGAGGTTAGCAATTGCATGGCATAACTCATGGTAGCTCACAGCCGCCCCTTCTGCCCACACCTAGCTTTGATATCTGGGCGTGAAAGACGGCCGAGCGTGGATGGCTCCTATTGCACTAACACGACTGCCACCATCACGCTAGAGACCAGAGGATTTCCATCCTGTGAACATCTTAGCCTGCCATGAGCATCAGTGCCACCCTCAGTGACGAGTCTGCCTATGGAAAACCTGTCTGCATCTCTAGGCCTGGCACATTTATCAGAGCCACAACCACACCCTCAACTCGCCCAGTGTATGGAGTTAAGCAAAGACAAACTGGACAGGGCAACCCGTCTCTTTGCTAAAGCACGAGACAGCACAGAGTTAACAAGGCTTCCAGCAAGCTCAGCTACACCCCAGCAGTTCAGACATGCCATGGCTTTTACAGTTGACAAGTTTCATTCAAAAATGAACACAACTCCCAAAACTTTTCTGAGAAGCCTTTAATAGTTACCTTACCAAAACTATTACTGAGATTATTCATGTCCAAGAGAATGGGATTTTACCAAATGTAAAGTGTTATTGGTTTTAGTTATA